GTATAAGGATGCACAGAGGTGATTTGTGGAGGAGGGGAGGAGGAATTTGGGACATGGATTGATTACTTTTACATGTCTTGAGAAAATGCTGTGTAGTTGCTTTTATTGCAAAAATAAGTATCTTGCAGACTCTTTGGGAAGAAAATGTGGAGCTTTTTTGGGAGCAAGATGTGACTAGTTAGAAACTGGAGGGAGTTTGTTTGCAAATGAAAAATTATTATTTATCTCATTGCCACAGATAAGAGTGTTCTTTTGTATCTTGTTTTTTTCTTCTACTGATTTTTATTTTCCATTCCTGAACCTGTTCTTCTTGTGATTGTCCCAAGCTTTGGTGTAAGTGACTTAAAGAGCTCCCATGAACCCATTGGTACAGGGGCCCAACAAATACATAGCAGGCCAGTTTGGCAGATTAACTTGTTTGCCTCCAAGATGACAAATTTTCATGGAACAGCAGCTTAAAATTCCCCAAAGCATTTTTGATGAGCAGGCTAATTTTAATAAAAACTGGGTGACATGGTTTTTAAAAAAAAGTTTTATAAGAACTCTTGGAAGCTTTGGTGTGTGTGTGTGTGTGTGTGTGTGTGTGTGTGTGTGTGTGTGTGTGTTGGGGACAGAAGGAAGTCTGGGGGAGGGTGGTATAGCACACATTGTTGCCCCAGTTGAACTAACCATGGAACACCTTTGTCTTTCATGAGAAAAATATTCTACAGAAACCTAGTTTAGGGTACCATCCCTTCGTTAAATATAGCAAATACCAAACTCTATTGTTTGCCTACTGAAAGTAAAGCAGGCAGATTTCCTAAATTCATAGAAAATTTAAATACGTGGATACAAACACCTCACTGTTAAATTTTCCTTTAACTTTTAGTGCCTGCTACAAGTGCTTGGTAAACTAGTAGTGGATCATGTGGCAGACATAGATATTCATAGCTACGGTACAGTTCTGAAAGGTCTAATCCTTACTGTCTTGCTTTCCCTCACCCTAAGTACTAGGATCCTGGATTTAGTAGCCAGTGACTTATCTCTCAAACAAAATGTTTCTCTGTTTCCGTATAGAACTAGGGATGTTATGGAGACTCATAATTTTGTTAACAAACTGAATACACTGGAGAATTAGAAGTCAATAAATGGTATAAAGGGAATTTAAGCATAAAATACATGGAATAACTCTGGATTTTCCATGTAGGATAGAACATGGCATTGACTCCAGCCATTTGTCACCCAAAACTGGTGACTCAGTGGGGTGAGTTAGCCTGGGGGAGATTTACATCTGAAAGCTGCTTCTTTTAGTCCTGTGTTTTGCTCATGTTCCTTTGGATGATTCACAATTCTCTTGTCCTATTTAACTTAGTATTCAAATTTTGCATCATTGTTCTTTTCTTTTCCCCATTCTTTCAAGAGATAACACAAGATACTGGAGAGGGAGGAAGTTTGCTTATATTTGCAGAAACTTCTCAATTTGGAATCATGCACAGTTAAAGTTTACTTTAATTAAGTCTTGATCAGTGGTAAATCAAAGAATGTGGGCTCTCTCTACTCTGTTATATAAAATACCAGTCTCTGGTTATGAATTGTGCTGCTAGGACTTCTTTTTATGTTTTAATTCTCAGAGCTCTGTTCTCTCTCTGCTTTGCAGAACATTTGGCTTTTGGCTTTGGCCCCATCTGAGATACATTCAACTATTTTTTTGGTGAGAAGAGAAACAACCCATTTGGGGCCAACCTGAGAACACCTATAGGATTCATCACAGTGATCAAACTCTGCAAAATAAGGATTCTATGACTCCTCTTGTGTAAGGTTATTGAAATTCTCCCAACATTTGTAGCAACTGAAGAAAACTTACCATATAATTATCATACCTAATGATACATAGGTTACATATACAGACTACAATAACACAGGTGATCAAAACCCTCCAGGCAGTTCATGTTTCTTATAGTCATGTTTATGATTTTCATTTTATATCTCATACATATTTTTACTAGTAAAACTTTTCTTATATGAATATATAAAATATATCATTATCTCATAATGTCCCATAAGAGTACAATGACCTATAAAAAATGTCTTGACTCTTGGATCCTACACCCTGAATACTTTAAGAGGCTATACTTACTGGGAGACCCAAGCACTGGGAGGGGAAGCATTTTTGGACTCCATAAATTATATCATATTATTGTGTCAAATGCCTGACTCTTCCAGCAAGGTTAACTTTAAATAAAATTTCTATATTGACAATTATGGATGGTAAAGGGACCCTTCTCCTGAAGTTTCAGATGGTAGGTGTTATTATTTATAAATACCTCCTTTTGGTCCACCTTCACTCATTCGTGCATTTAACTCTATGATCTCTAAAGGAGGATAATTTGGTTTATAGGCAACATCAGTCTAATGATTTGGTCCTGAATGTGCATATCTTTTCTCCCTTGTATCTTGGAGGGAAATTTCAGCATAATTATGAGGAATAGCAAAGAGAAAGGATCAAAATGACTACTTTAGTGAAAGAAATGAGCAGTTTTCAAGTTGACAATGAAAACAAACCTTATAGTCTATACTTCTGTTTTTTTTTAATTTAAATTTTATTTTATTTTTGTGTGTGTGTGTGTGTGATGCTAGGGATTGATCCCAGGGCCTTGTGTATGCTAGGCAAGGACTCTACTAACTGAGCTATATCCCTACCCCTATATTTCTGTTTTTTAAATTGCAGACTATAGTCCATTAGTAGCTTGTGAATTTAATTTAATGGGTAGCAACCAGTATTTGAAAGAATGTCAAATGGAATATAGTATGTATGAAATGAATTGGATATGCTAAGAGTATCTTGCTTATAGGTAGGAAGGATAAATATTTTTACATAAAGAATTTTAAAAACATAAAGATCATGTATTTTTCAGATTTATGTATAATACATATATACACACCTATACATATATACATACTGAGTTATAATGTAAGATTCACTTCTTATACCATGGTCAAAAACTTTGAAAGTCACAGTTGTATATATGAAAGTTATGGATACATTTAATATCATTTATCCTGCCTCTGCTGGTAATTTCTTTTGTGATGATTGTCTACATATTTGTGTTAAATAATATTCATATTCCAAATTGGCTAGAGTACCCATCCTCCATTTTGCATCACACACAATAGCTTCTTCCCACCCACACTGTAAGATGATGAATTCTGTACACGCAATCCCCACATCTATGCAAATTCATTACCACACTTTGCCTGTCATTCTGCCATGTTCTCTTTCCCCTGCTCAGACTTGCTCTACAAGTTAATTTTGTAAATCAAAATACTTTCCCCCATTCATTGGTTAAGAATTTTAAAGTCAAAGACAACTTAAAGCTTTCCTGCAAGTACCTGTCGCTCTGATTTCAGTAGGAGGCTCCCTAGACTCATGAAAGTTCATCTTAGATTTGACTCCACCCAGTAAAGGTCTGATGTTAGATCAGATGGTCTCAAGAGTAATGATGAATCAGAGTTAGATCATCTCCCTTAGAGATTTCCCCTCACTAAGTGGAAGTGAGGTTTGCTGAAGGCCTATTCTCTGCCTAGCCTTGTTAACCAGGTCAGTGTATGGGTAAACCCTCTTCTCACTATTAGATGGACTTAGACAAGTCCCCACTACACATGCTTTATGGAAAGGACAGCAATTTTTTATTTTTGTTCCTCCAGCATCTGGTAAAGTTTCTGGCAAATAAAAGGCATTTGATAAATGAATGAATCAACATTTAAACTTAATGAAATGAAAACAAAAAGACTCAGTAAAGTTAAACAGTTCATAAATAGTGGAGATGAGATTGCAGTCTAGTGCTTATCAACTCTAAAATCCATGGTATTTTCACTTTGCTGCCTGTACTCTTCCAAGAAAACCATTCTAAGGAACTCTTACCAATAAGAGGTATATATTATCACCATTATAATTGAAAGCATAATGGGATGACCAGGATTATCTGTGACAGCGAAGTTAAACCATGGTATTTGATATTATCTTGGAGATCTGGTTTTGAAAAATGGAAACATTAGGGAAAAAATAAAAGGCAAGAAACAAAGACATGGCAACAAACAGAGATAACTTCCAGTACTTCTAGTGGATCTATACAGAAATCTATTCATCCAGTGGAGGAAGCCTCAGTGTATGCTCCAGTAGCAGACAATTGTGCATGTTATGTTCACTTTACTTGTCTCCAAGCAAAGTATTATGAAGGACAGTGATTCTCAATGTGTGTGTGGGAGAAAGTCTCCTCTAGAACACATTTGGCAAAGTAAGGAGACAATGTTGGCTGCCATACCTGGGGTGTGTTTTGGGGGGTGCTGGTRGCATCTATTAGATAGAAACCAGAGATGCTGCTAAACATCCTACAACTCACAGGAGAGCCTTCAACRAGTAAGAATTATCCAAATGTCAATAGCATCATCCCAGAGAGACCCTACTATAGAAATCAGGAATGACTGTCCAGCTGGGCCATCTGAGCTGGACTCTAGGTTCTCATACTTTTWATGCAATTGACCTTGGGCTCATAGTTGCTCAATTCTTTGTGCTTTAGTTTCCCACTGATAAAATGAGGATARTAATAGTATCTTCTGTTATATGATTAAATGAATCAAAGCAAAGAAAGTGTTTAGACTAGTATAAGCAATAGCAATTTTTGACAAATGGTACTTTAAAGAAACGTAGATTAAATAAGGACCGATGCTCTGTTGGACTTACATCAGTCCTGGTGCTTCCCTTATTCCTGTCTTCTGCTGTGGATAGGTCAACAGTTCAGAGAAAGACTTTTCTTTTTTTATATCTTAAYTAGGTTGAAAACAGATATTGGTTGGTGTCCCTTTGGGAGCAGGTTGTTTGGGTGTGGATATCTCAGAGTCCCCTTGCTAARTGACTGATTAGCCTGCTAAGTGCAATGTTAATGTTACTTATGTGAACTGATCCCCTTTGRCAGGACCCACTTTTTTTTCTCTATTGCAGGTTAAGATCCTAATTTGTGAAAATGAAGTCCCAGGCTACCATGATTTGCTGCATAGTGTTTTTTCTGGCTACAGAATGTTCCCACCATAGACCTAAGAATCATATAAAAGTAAGTTTGATACATCTCTACACAGTCCCAAGAGAAATTCCTCAGTTTCTCTAGATAGCTGGCTTTCTGATAAACAACACGTCCTTTTAAATACATTTSTATGACTATAAGTTTACTCCTGCTGATACTAACTTTCTAAGGAAGGGAATCAACATAGAGGAAAGGTGGCAGGAATGTGATTGGAGAGCAATGGCATAGTAGAACCATCCCTTCGCAAGCCACAGGGAATGTGGACAGGGAGCTGAAGAGAGGAGAAAGCACTAGCCTGGCAGTTGTAGGGCAACTTAGATTCAGATCTTGATTTTGCTTCTCACTAGCTACACAAGTTGTTTTACTTTTTGGAGTCTTAGTTTCCTTATCTATAATATGAGGTTTGTTTTTTAAGATAATATTTATAGTCCTTTATAGGTCTAAAAATTGTTATTCTGTTATTATAACCAAGGACCCTTCCTAGTATATGTCCATTTCTTTCTTCTAAGGATGTAGCTGGAGGGTCACATTACAGCATTTCACCTTTATAGTTAATAGAGTCCKAGCTTGATTGGCATAATTAAAGCTTCCCAAAAGATGTACCCTAGGGGCTGGGACTATAGCTCAATAGAGGGCTTGCCTGGCATGTATGAGGCCCTGGGTTCAATCCTCAGCACCACATAAAAATAAATAAAATAAAGGTACATTGGCCACTAAAAAAAAAAAAATGATGTACCCTATCCCCTAACTTGACCTTCAGAGCCCAAGTGACTCTGTCGAGGTTAAGCCCTCATGGAGGGCAGTGTGTTCTCTGTGCTCTCATCTGTGTTCCCTTGGGCAAGTACCTGCAATACCGTCACAGGAATCTGCTGCAGGTTATTTTCCTCATCATGAACACATTTCCTTTTCATATTTACATGGAGCCTCTAAKTTGAGATGAGCAAAGAGAGTCCCACAGTAAAGAGGGCCTGTGGGGATTGTGTTTTTCAGGATAGAGCAAAACCTCAAAACTTTGAAGGGAAACCTGAGACTGGAAGGATACAAGGTATGTATCTCTAGAATCATCTTTATACATTTGGAGACAGGGCAGGATAAAGGAAGGACACTGATGTTCCAAGCATGCCCCCAGGCCACAGGTGTTCCAAGGAAATCATTATTTCTAATAAGTCCATCATATTTGCTACTATTGGTAGATTTATTACGACAATACCATTATCAATGGCATAGTCAGTGAAGTGAGTTTGCAAACATTCCTGTGTACTCTACAGCAGTTGACAAATGTCCATTTTCAAACCCCAAACGAAGTAAATCTGTTCAAACTAATGAGCTAACAACAGGTAGAACAGGAAAGAGGACCAAATTCCTCCTTTCCTTCCTTCAGATATTTTCAGGGTGCTTTAACAAATGCAACACTGTGGTGCTGAGAGGTCTATTGAAGCAATGCCAGGTGGATACCATGGTGGTGAGACTGGTCACTCTCAAGAAGTGAGACATAAACTAAGGAGGTAAAGTCATTAGTAGTAATATAACAAAATCATGTGGCTCACACCCACATAGTAGGGATAACTGGATTCTGCACAGTCATGGACAGGTATAGTTCTGGTGGCAAATGCATCTCTAAATAAATGTGGACTTGGAAAGAGAAAGAGGAGAGAAAGGTAGGTAACATTTACTGGGCATTTATGCCAACACTTATCTAAGTGTTGAACAAGAGGCTGTCTCATTAAACGTTTGTAACAACATTATAGCATCATCTCCAAGCAAATGAATGAAAAAATTAAGAACTACTCCAGTTAAATAACTTGCAAAATTGTTATATGTGGTAGATGTCAAGGAAAAATACAAACCCAATTGTTTTCTTTCCAAGAGAAAGCAGTAGTCCAGGCCCTAAGTATGGGTGCATGCCTTGATTCTAACCAGTTGGTCACCTCATTTTATTGACTTCAACACCCAATATGTCTCAGCATCATCTACATATTTCCATTCTATTGTCACTATCTTAAAGGCATTTTTTCTAAGAATACTTCAACAGTTTCTTTCTTAGACTTCCTGTCTCGTGCTAATTCACTTTGACCTATGGGCCATATTTGGCCCACCACCAGTTTTTAATGGCACACAGTCATCCCCWTTCAGTTACATACTGTCTTTGGTTACTTTTCACACTAAAAAGAYATAGTTGAGTAGATGTGACAGACACCCATGTGATCTGCAAAGTTGAAAATATTTATTCTGACTAGGGTTTGCTGTATTTAGAAAATAAAAATATAAGATGCCAGGTTAAATTTGAATTTCAGATAAGCAATGGATAATATTGCATGTGTCACAAATACAGTAAAAATAATTCTCTCTCTCTTTTTTTTTTAAAAAACACTTTCAATTCACCCTCATTTTTTGGGGGGGGCAAATTCTAAATTTCCAAATTCACTTACTCCCTGAATTTTATTTGTAACCCTTAAATCTACAGTGTTCTTGTGATCATTCACAGACATGCACAGAACAGCGAAAAATGGAGTTGCCTAATGCGCATGTTCCCAGCTAAGATTGGCCAAGGTGATACCCCGTGTTAGCTTTTTGTCACTGTAACCAAAACACTTGACAAAAAAAAAAAAAAAGAAAAAAAAAAAGTAGAGGAAGAAAAGTTTGTTTGGGCTCACAGTTTCCTAAGTTCAGTCCACGGTGTGTTGTTTCTGTTGACTCCAGAGCTCTGGGGCTGTGTGAGACAGAACAATATAATGGAAGGGAAAGGCAGAGGAAAGCACTCAGGACATGGCAGCAATAAAGCAGAGAGAGCTAATTCTGTTCACCAGGGTCAAAATATAAACTCCAACGTCACACCCCCAGTGACCCACCTCCTCTAGTCACWTTCCATCTGCCCACAGTTACAGGCCAGTTAATCCATATCAGTGGATTAATCCACTGATTAGGTCACAACTCTCCTAATCTAATCATTTTATCTCTGAAAATTTTTGCATTGTCTCATACATGGACTTTTGGGGGACAGCTCATATCCAAACCACAACATCCTGCTTTCTTATTCTAGCTCTCATACTATGAATGAGTCCTCTTCCAGTCTGCATAATGCATGATTTTGCATTTTTGTGCTTTTTGTTTATGATTTCTTTTTGTATAAAACGCCCCCCAACCATAGTGCCAAAGTGCTGTCTAGTGTTTCTAAGTCAAAGAAGGCTGTGGTGTTTTCTGAAGAAAATACATGGGTTAGATAAACTTGGTTCAGGCTTGAGTTGCAGTGCTTATGGGCCCTRAACTCAGTGTTAATGAATCAACAATATATATTAAATAAGGTGTCATTTAACAGAAACAAATAATACAAGTTCATACATTGATCAGTTGATGAAAATGTCATGAGCAGAAACTGGCAGGAATCTAACCTTAAGTTCCCCTAGGATGGTTGGTTCAGAATGCTAATTCATGGTGAATTCACAGAACATAACTCCTGTGAATAATGARAATTGACTGTATCTTAAGTAAAATTAACATTTAAATGGGGTTTCTGTATTTTATCTGRCAACTCTACTTATACAGTTCTGTGCAGAAAAGTTTACTGACTCTTGCTCTATGCTGTTGCCAATTACCTTTCAATAACAAATCCAATCATGTTTTCTGGTAACTCTGATGMTAGCACAGCATTCAGTGCCCCTCAGGACTTTACCCATGCTTTCCTTCCAACCTCACTGCCTGTACTTCCTCTCAGGTGTTCTGAGCTAGCTTTTCTGAATGACCTTTAGATGCCCTCTCCACATGCTGCTCACTCTGCCTAGACACCAGCATCCCCATTGGCTGGCCTAGCAGCCCTTATTCATTGCTGCAGACCCAGTTCAATGTCACTTCCTCTGGGAAGCAATCCCCAAAGTCCCAGAATGAATTACATGCACTTATCAGAGTRGCAGTGCAGAAATGCTAATTTGGTCTCTCACTCATTTCTTTTTCCTTTTTAGAGAAATGTCATGAACCTTGCCTTTCCTCTACCAACTGCAGCCAACCCTGTGCTAAGCACTTTCGTGGAGAAATAGGATTTATATGTCATCAAAAAAAGTGGCAAAAATCAACTGAAACATGTACAAGCCTTTCTGTGGAAACACTTTTTAAGGTGACTCATTTGCATATTATTGGTAAAGGAGCTAATCCCCCAGGTGGTGACGGAGACATATGTAATGCTCTCTGTTCAGCTCAGACCTGGATTTAGGAAAATATAGAGTGGGTTAAATTTGTCTTTTGTCCTTTTTTTCTTACCCAAACTCTGGGGTACTCTCCCCTCTCCAAATTTTATTTCTCCTTCACAGAACATTTTCCCAACAAAGATTTGAAGCTCATTTATCCTATGATTTAAATGATTGCTTAGAGATTCAAATTTAGCCTTAAAGGTGGATTTGCATGCCTCTGTTTAATTAATCAACTGAATGTCTAGAATTAAATTTGGTATCTTTCTTTTTAAAATATATTTGTTAGTTGTTGATAGACCTTTATTTTATTTATGCATTTATATGTGGTGCTGAGAATCGAACCCAGTACCTCACACATGCCAGGCAAGTGCACTACCACTAAGCCCTAGCTCCAGCCCCTGATATCTTCTTTAATGCTTTCAGTCTCTTGACCAAAAGAAAGTAGAGATGTGTGATTCAGAGGCAATAGAAATTCAATGAAGAGAACACATCTCAGTTAAAATTAAAATGTCCTGTTTTATATTTTTGCACTTAACCCCCATTTCTTTCTGTCTTTCCTTCATATCATTGAAGCATGTGGGTCCCTGCATTTCCTGTGTGGTTTTATAAAGGGACTTCCTAGGAGTCTGTCAATTAGCATAGGTAATCATATAATTATCCTTGCAACTACAGTGGCATTCAAAAGTGAATTAAAGGAAACAAATTATTGCTTTGTCTTATTCAAAGTCACATTCTGAGGGAGTCTACGTAAAAGCATCAGGAAATGAGCAAATAACTTCTAACTTGTAAATTATAAACTTTTCGAAATTGTAATTCTTTAGCATTTGGTATTTCAACTGCCAACCTCCAAAAACAACTCCCATTTGAAATTCCATGTGGTTTCTCTTTCTCTGCATCTCTGTGGAAAATCATCTTGTTATAATAATACTTGTGTTAAAGCCACTTTCCTGAAGGTAAATTCAAATAGGGAAGGTCAGTATCAGTATCCTGATTTCTATGGGAATTTGATGGAAGTTGATGCCTATTTGTGACCCTATCTTACCTTCCTCTACTTCTCAGCACTAAAACCCCTTTTTAGGACCACTTGTTTCTTTTCCATGTGGATTGTTTGTGCTTTTAGTTCCTTTAGTATKATACATGCCAGAAACTCAATCATTTTTAATAAAACAACAATCTTTTTTTTTTTTTTTAAACAGGACTCAAATGTGGCATTACGTTTTTCTGTAGCAGCACCTTCTATACCTCTACCCATTCTAGACTTTCAAGCTCCAGAGCCTGTTAAGAGTGTAGCTCAAAGAATCTGCAAGAATTGCCCTCATGATTATGCTTGCATCATTGATGTTGTGAAATCCTCAGAAACCACATCTGGAAATATTGCATTTATAGTGGAGTTATTGAAAAATATTTCTACAGATTTGTGTGGTGGTGTTACCCGGGAGAAAATGAAGGTACTCTTACACTGGTGATAGTTTTAAAAAAATCTTACACTTTAACAGTTTCAGATGTATTTTTCAGGGTAAAAACTACAACTACCATAATAAGAATATCCAGCATTTCACTTCAGTTTTGCATATTGACTTAAGTTAGAAGATTTGAAATACATTGTGATCACCATGAGCAAAACGGAACTTACTCTAGTATTTCCAAAATTATGTTCTGGTAGAGCACAACTGTTCTGAGGAATGTTAACACAGATTCCATTATTTTTGATACTCAGGATGGAACCCAGGGGCACTYAACCAGTGACCCACAACCCCAGCCCTTTATTGTATTTTATTTAGAGACAGAGTCTCACTGAGTTGTTGGGGGCCTTGCTACGGTGCTGAGGCTGCCTTTGAATTTGTGATCCRCCTGCCTCAGCTTCTTGAGCCACTAGAATTACAGATGTGAGCCACCGTGCTCAGCTCAGTGGTTCTATCTTTGAAAGTGGCATAGCACTTGCAGGAAATTTGGGTTTAAACGCAGTTTTCCTTATGGCAGAATGTAGAGCCTTTAGTGTGCTAATGAACTTATTATTAAAGGGAGGAATAGAGATATGGTACATAGTGTTGTTCAAACTTAGATCACCAAAGAATCCACCGCTACTCCCCTCATGAAATAATCATTTATATCTCATGGGAAACTTGGGTTCCATATCCTGTGTTTTGGAGATGTTGCCTTTGGTACAATAATAAAGCAGGTAATGCTTAGCTGAGGTCTGTATCATTTGTATGTATGTGTGTACATGCATTTATATATGAGTTCTTTTACTTTTCTTCCCTGTGTGCAACCTTTCTTATGTGAGACTTGAATACAGAGAATTTGAAGAGAAATATGTCATTTAAGAGCAGGTAATTAGATGTTTAGAAATTTTAGATTTTAGAAATCCATTTTGTRCAATAACGAGCTTTCCTCCACTGCAGAGCTACAGTGAAGTGGCCAACCACATCCTGGACACAGCAGCCATTTCAAACTGGCCTTTCATTCCTGACAAAAATGCCAGCTCCAATTTGTTGCAGTCAGTGAATTTGTTTGCGAGCCAACTCCGTATCCACAATGAGTCYGAGGACATCGTGGATGAACTCTTCATTCAGATGAAAGGCTTTCACATCAATCACAACACCACAAAGAGAAGTTTCAATTTCTCCATGAGCATGGATAATGCAACAGAAAGCATCTTAGGAATGGTAGAAATTCCCAGGCAAGAGCTACAGAAACTGCCACCAGGGAACACTTCCCSAGCCATTAGCATAGCTTTTCCAACCTTGGGGGCCATTCTGAAAGAACCCCACTTGCCAAATGAGAGTGTTTCCAGACCCATCATTGGTCTGGTCCTTTCAGTCATTTTGCCAGAAACGATGAAGGAAATCTTATTCACCTTTGAAAAAGTCAATAAATCCCGAAGTACCAGGGCACAGTGTGTTGGCTGGCACTCCCASAAAAGGATGTGGGATAAGAATCAGTGTAAGAAGATGGTGGATACCATGGACAAAGTGAAATGYCATTGTAACTATACCCATGTGATGATGTCCTTTTCCATCCTAATGTCCCCCAAATCTGTGAGTGACAAAGCCCTGGACTACATCACTGGCATTGGACTCAGCATCTCAATCCTTAGCTTGGTTCTTTGCCTGATCATTGAAGCCACAGTTTGGTCCCGTGTGGTTGTGACAGAGATATCATACATGCATCATGTGTGCATCGTGAACATAGCAGTGTCGCTCCTGATTGCTAATGTGTGGTTCATCATAGGCTCTAACTTTACCGTAAAGTCCCAGGAAGACAACTGGTGTGTCACAGTGACATTTTTCAGTCACTTTTTCTACCTCTCTCTGTTTTGCTGGATGCTCTTCAAAGCGCTGCTCATCATCTATGGAATATTGGTCATTTTCCGTAGGATGATGAAGTCCCACATGATGGTCATTGGTTTTGCCATTGGCTACGGGTGCCCGCTGGTTATTGCTGTCACCACAGTTRCTATCACAGAGCCACAGAAAGGCTATGTGAGATGTGATGCTTGTTGGCTTAACTGGGATAATACCAAAGCCCTCTTTGCATTTGTCATYCCAGCCTTGGTCATTGTGGCTGTGAATCTCCTTGTGGTTTTGGTTGTTGCTATCAACACTCAGAGGCCCTCTATTGGCAGTTCCAAGTCTCAGGATATGGCCATAATTATGAGGATCAGCAAAAATGTGGCCATCCTCACCCCATTGCTAGGACTGACCTGGGGTTTTGGAATAGTCACTCTCATAGAAGAAACTTCATTGATATTCCATATAATTTTTGCTCTGCTCAATGCTTTCCAGGTAAGTTCCAAGAGGGAGATTTTGTGTGTGTGTGTGTGTGTGTGTGTGTGTATGTGTGTGCGTGTGTGTGAGTATGTGTGAGTCTATGTGTGTAACTTGGTTGGATAGAAAGAAAAAAAAAAGAAAAGGAAAGGAAAAAAAAGGCTATGATTTAAAATTACAGAACTCAAAACACTCCTTCGATTTCCTTCCACATCTTATGGGTATTGAGTCTCTTACTCTGTTGACTGTCAAGCTGAATTTACCTGAGCAGGTCAGTTGGGTGCAAATCTCCTTCCTTTTCTTCTCAGTGATCCTCCTAAGTATCCCTCCTAAGGTTTCAACACCAGAAGTCAATCTTATCTTACAGAGGCAGTCAGGGAGGTGTGAAGCTATGCTCACATCATGCCTCAAAATAAGCACGATTTTACCCTTTTCCAGTGAAATAGCCGATTTTTAGTGAAATAACCATTTTCTATAGTATGAAGAGAGGGCCCTTGGCATTCCCTTTGGATGTTAACCAGTCAGGAGTTCTCATACCTCTTCCCTGCTAGTCCCTGTGAAATAAATCTAAGTTGTTATTTAACGAAATGGATCTTACCATATTTTTCCTGGTCTTGGGAAACATATGGTAAAGTCTCAGTCTCAGCCTCCTTATCTGTAAAAGAAAGATAAGAATCTAAAATGGACTCTCACATAGTTGGTTTGGCAAGATCGACTGTCTCAAAGTTGTTTTACTCCCTCTTGCTACTCAGCTTGTACATTTGGGACACTGTCATTAGCCAAATTGCTTTCTATGCCTATGAGTAATAGGTAATTTGGCAAGTCCACAGTCTCAATTATGCTGTTAATCAGGGGTTGGCAAACTATGACCTCCTGCCTGTTTTTGTAAATAGGGTTTTACTGGAATATAGTCTTGCTGGTGTCTTTACCTTTTCCCCCCATGACTGCCTTTGAGCTGCATTGGTACATGTGAGTCACTGCATGGCCCACATGGCCTAAAATATTTACTGTCTGGGTCTTTTCAGGAAAAAAAATGACCTGACTACCGCTTTCAAGTATATTAGTATAACTGCTTAGTTATATTAATATACCATTATTATTCTATTTCAGTGTGGGATTCAAAAGATAAGACAGACTTAAAAAAATCCCAACTCAGATCACTTACATATCTTAGTTAGAATTCTTCTCTTTCTTTTAAAAACTATGCTCATTAACTAGTTAATTCCYTGTGTTTTATTGGTGCATTACATTTGTACATAATAGTGGGATTTGTTGTTATATGTTCATATAAGCGCACAACATAACAATATGATTTGGCTAATATCATTCCCCAGTATTTCCCCTTTCCTCTCCTTCTTCCTTCTCCTGGTTCCTTTCCTCTGTAATACTGATCTTCCTTCCATTTTTCACAAGATTAGGAAATCTTTCTTTTTCTTTTTCTTCTCTAGAAAAAATATRTTATTCTTGACTTTCTGTTACTCAGAATTCTTTAAAAACTATGTAGCATATTTATTTCACTCTTCCTGTTGGATTAAAGAAAAACCTTTGTTTCAAGTTTTTTTATTATTTGTTTATTCTMATTTGTTACACATGATGGCAGAATACRATTCATTTCATATTACAGATATAGAGCTAAATTTTTCAAGTCACTTRTCGTACACAAAGTATTYTCAAAACATTCGTGTCTTCATACATRTACTTAGGGTAATGATGTCTAAATCATTCCACCATCATTCCTACCCCCATTCCCCCCCACACACTCCTCCCTCCTCTTTATCCTATCTAAGTTCCTCCTTTCCTCCCGTGTTCCCCCTCCAATGCCATTATGAGTCAGCCTCCTTATATCAAAGAAAACATTCGGCCTTTGGTTTTTTGGATTGGCTTACTTCACTTAGCATTATATTCTCCAACTCCATCCATTTACCTGCAAATGCCATGATTTTATTCTCTTTTAATGCTGAATAATGGTCCATTGTATATATACACCAAAGTTTCTCTATCCATTCATCTACTGAAGGGCATCTGGGTTGGTTCTACAATTTAGCTACTGTTAATTGTGCTGCTATAAACATTGGTATGGCTGTGTCCCTGTAGTATGCTGTTTTTAAGTCGTTTGGGTATAAGCTGAGGAGTAGGAGAGATGGATCAAATGGTGGTTCCATTCCAACTTTTCCAAGGAATCTCCATACTGTTTTCCAGATTGGATGTGCCTATTTGCAGTCCCACCAGCAATGTATGAGTGTGCTTTTCCCCCACATCCTTGCCAATACTCAAAAACTTTAACATCAAAATAATAATAATAATAATCATCATCATCATCATCATCATCATCATCATCCAATCAATAAATGGTCCAAGGAACTGAACAAACACTTCTCAGAAGAGGATATATAATCAATCAACAAACATGAAAAAATGTTCATCATCTCTAGCAATTAGAGAAATGCAAATCAAAACTACTCTAAGATTTCATCTCAAGCTTTTTCTTTCTTTCTTTTTGTTCTTATTTTTTGGAAATCAAAAGCTTTTGGATTCACATGCATTGTCCCACTATAGAAGTTACTCTGGTGACTAATGATCTCATCCTCTTTCTTACTTTGCAACTTAAGTAAACTCCAGGATGTTTTGTTCTATATTTCTTTTTCAGMTCATTTGTATTTCTGTTTTCTTGATAGGAAGAAAAATACCCATATTGTTTTGATTTGGGGGYTGAGGTTTGAACCCTGGATTTTGCACACACTAGGCAAGTGCTCTGCCAACCCAGCTGTCCCTCCAGCCCCCTAAATACTTTTACTTGTATACAATCCTGCTTTCTCAACAAGCTATCCCTGTGACTCACCTTTAACATTTTTAGTCACCTGACTGGTGTTTCTTCACCATTAAACTATCTTTAGATGGTGAAGAGACCCTCCTGGCCTTTCAGGTCTTTGTAACTTTCTCTTTCTTTCATACAAAAATATTCTTCCACTAGCTGAGAGCCCATGATTGCCTATTTACAGAACAGTAACTGCAACTCAAAGCAGACTAGAAAAGAAGTTTCATTTTCTTAAGACGACTTCCATGATTGTGATTTTGGATTACAAGATTCAGTGTATGTGAACTGTCCTCATAAGTAAGAACAGCTACTACAATATTTGGAAAGAAAGTTCAGAAGATTTAATACGGTTGAAGATTCTATTTTATATTTGTTGTCATTCAATAAATATCAAGCCTCAAGAGAGGGATCCTCATCCAAGGAGGAGGTACACTCAAAGGAAACACCCATTAATGAATTTTTGTCTGCATCAGTTTCTAATGTCCAATTGCTGCCCTAGAAGTTATGGAGAACAGTGGTATTAAAATAACAGCTGTGGTACTGTTTGGAAAGCTGATCTTTGTCATTCTGTTGAATTTTACCACAGGGTTTCTTCATCTTGCTGTTTGGAACCATTATGGATCACAAGGTAATTTGAATTCACTTAATTCCTTGCAGATGATTTCCATGTGGCTAAAGGAAGCAGYGGTACAAGGCAATTTGATGGGAGGGCATAGTCCAGGGAGCTGTGTTTAAGAGCACAGCTCAGGGTATCAGCTGTGAGGGGAGAACTGTACTCTCTCATCTCACTCTTTATCAGGTCAGCAGGAGGCTGTGTAAGAGCATAATTGGTGAAAGGAATAGAAACCATGGCCACAAATTTAATTTTAATTCTAAATCTGATCACAACCACACCTCCACTTTTACCCAAGTCATATTATTTGCCAGTCACTATATTAAGCCATTTGATATTGCTTTTGTCAGGGTTACTGGTCTTAAAGTTTCAGGACAATTTTGAGTCTTGGGATTTTTGTTGTTTCCTCTGATGGTTTTGAGATATTTCTGTCATTGCTTTTTWAGATAAGAGATGCTTTGAGGATGAGAATGTCTTCTCTGAAGGGGAAATCGAGGGCAGCGGAGGTAAGCTTTTAGACACACATGGGATGGTCAGTGTCCTCCTCAGTCATAAATATTGCAGCTCAGTACCCAGGACTCTTAGCAAAGACAATCAATAGGCCACCTTTCATTCACTCATGTCTTCATTTTATAAATTTGGAGTTTCTTGCTAAAACAGAACTTCAGCAGAATATACCTTATGAGAGATTTTTGCACTTGGGGTRTATTTGAGCTAGATATTTGGGCCCATTGAGATGGGACAATGTGAATCCATGATCTATGATTTATAAAAGATGAGAGGCAGGAAATGAAAGTTGCATTGGAGATGAGATTCAAGTGCAGCCCACTCATTTTATGGGTCAGGAAGTTAAGATGGAGTGTACTTATTAGATGTGTACACAGTCACCCAGCTTGGTGAGAATTGCTCCATTAGGAAACACTGAGGAAGATTTTGACCCGTCTGTTTGTCTTTTAGGGCATTGTCTAAAATTGCCAACATGGCTATATTAATTAAAACTTATTTGTTCAACCAATAGATTCTTATTAAGAGCTACTTCCTTGAAAACAAGCTTTCTGGATATACTGAGAGCCACCATTTAGGGTTAGCTTGTACTGAGTATGACTTTTAGTATCACATCTCTTCAATGTTAAGATAGGCATTTTCTTTGCCTTTTAACACCTTTAAAGTTGAAATGTATCTTATAACCAATTAAATATGTCATGGCTTAATTGACAAGTTTTTTTTTTTTTTTTTTTTTTTAGCAAAACAAAAAAGATGTAACTGATAACCTTACATTCAGTGAAATATGTTAATTTAATTCCTTGTAGTTGTGATTTTCACATGTTTATCTCTAGGAAGGCTACACATAAACACATATATATGTAAATATATATCATTTTTTTGTCAGTATCCTTACTTGTTGTCACCTCTGTTATTTTTACCCCCATTTAGAATGCATCATTAAGTCCAACCAATGGATCTAAATTAATGCATCGATGAGGGGGTAAAATGTGAGTATGAAAAACTCAAARAGAAACTTCACTTGAAAGTTGTACTGGGCCACTCTGTACACAATAGCCTGATCCATGATGCTCTAATGAGGTGGGAGGGGATTAAGGGACATATATTTTAGAAAATAGAACATCTTGAACATCTTTATTTCCTGGCACATAAATGAAAATGTGTACATTTTCTTTAAAATCTGTGTCACTTGAGTTAAATGACCAGACCTTAAGCACCCAGGGTGTTTGGTAAGCACACGAAAGGGACATACTCCAGGGCAGGGCTAACCCACAGGGAAAAGCCAGTACTTAAGCCACCATAGAAAATTACAGACTGACCCTCTGGAGGAGGAGAATTCCAACAGTGAGAAAGAGGGCGGGAGATGAGAGCAGAACTTGCAGTGAACTTGGAGGCCCCCACTGTGGGTGGAGACTCCTTTTATTCCAATAATCTAGGGTTTAGATTGCTTTTAGAATCAGGACTGGAATAGATCTGTCAGGTGGCCCCAAGATGAGAGGAGGAGGGCTGCAGAGACGTGAAAAGCAGGCAGTTCCTTTCAAGTGTGGATTCTAGTGGGGAGAACCCCATCTGGGAAGGCAGAAAGGGCGACCTCCTTCCTATGAGGCCACAGCCGCACAGCGCCCTCTGCTGTTCAGGYGAAGGGGCAGGCCTGTAATAGGACCGCAACAGGCTCTTTTACCCACTGTGATTCCAGGGGCAACAGGAAGGCTCCAGGTTCTTAAGAAATATCTTCTACTTGTTGTTTAGCCCTGAAATTCACTCAAAAGGATACAGAGTTCAGTTCATAATTAAAAAAGAGATGACTGAACAAATACTGGAAGAGAAGCGACAGGGTGTACAGTTGTAAATTGAGCTGCAGAGTTGTTCTAGAGACTAAGTTCAGACTCCGGAAGAGGAGAGAGAGCACTGAACACCCAATTTAGGGTTGGAGGAGCAGTTCAGGGAAGGCAAAGGGCACAGAGCAATACAGCTGGAAGACAAACCTTTCTCCTCATGCCCTGAGCCTCATTTCCTCATCTATAGATCAGGATTAGTAATAGCACACACCTTGGTTTCAGGAGAAGATGAGCTAGAACACGTGAAGCCCCTAGAACCCCGGCTCAATTCAAATTGTCAAGAAATGTCAGCCATTGTTCCTGCTACTAACAAGTGTTCCAACCATCTTTCCCAGGATGCCCATTTCTCACTGTTGTCCTGGGTCCTGGGACTGAGAGGTGAGTTCCAGAAGAAGAATGCATGGGAAGTAGTGTGGAATGAGGAGGGACAGCCACGGTGTCWTGGAGGACTTTTTCCTCTTGCCAGGAGTGACACCTAAGCTGAGGAGAAATCGAAGATGCCATGTGATGAGGAGACTTTAAAATGGCTGATCTACCGACTCTTTGACTCATTCGTGGCCTGCAAAAGTCTGGCTTCTTGTCACCCTTGGCAAGATTAAGGAAACCTGCAAACCATCTTGTGGCCTCTGTGACAAGTCTGGGGCTGGTGGGATCTTGCTGGGCGTGGGCTGCTCTCATTTCCAAGGCTACCTCCTGGCTCCCTGACTCAGTCACCCCTCCCTCTGCATAATTCCTGAGGGACAGGGGTTAGATCCAATTTCAGGAGCAGGGTTGGGGGTCGGAGGGTGATGTTGGATTGTCAAGACAAACACTGAATATACTTTGGAAATGGCTTATACATGGTAGGTTTCATAAAGATAAGGAACAAAACAAAAGAAAGCTATTTAATGTGTTTATTATTTAAGTCTATTTTAGACCTTGAATGAGATAATTTACCTTTTAGGATCTCAGTTTCCTTAGTTGCCTGTTTGTACAACAGGCAAAATTCTTGTAGACAGTACAGTGTATTTGTGTACCTGCACACAAGTGTGCGTGTGTTTATGTGTTTGTTCATGTGCATATTTTAACCATTATATGTAAAGAAAAATTCTGGTTGCTATTTTAGGAATAAAATACAGATGTTTACCTTTCACAACTTGTTCACGTGTGAGTTCATTCAAGATGAACTTCCCCATTGATAGCACAATGTTCCTGAATATCATCCTGTTACCAATCCACCTCAGCTAATGGGCCAGACCTCCAGGAGGTCTGGGAATGCAATCCTGCCACATGCCCATGGAGTGAGAACTTGGAAATGTTTGGCAGAGAACACTACCCTGACTTGCCTTTCAGATGTCTCAATGATATTATTAACACCATTTTTGTTTTAAACAGCAAGGCTTTCATTAGAACTGAAGATGGCTGTGTGGTCAGGGGTAGGACATTCTGTCCAAAGCAAATATCATAGAAGTCACTTATTCAAAACTTTTTCACAAAACAAATCAACAAAAAACATAGTGAGTACCTCTTTGCAGGGCTTCAGTCAAAATCTTTAATAGTGGTTTAAAAGCAAGAAAAGGATGTTTCACAACAAATATTAATTGTTCAAAGGATGAAAATATTTAGTAGTTGGAAATCATTTCTCTCTTATTAAAATAAGACGTTCACAGGAGAGATGTGAATTTAATTTTAGTTTGTTAAGACTCTTGTGCATTAGTTTATTGATTCACATTTCCTTATTGACTCATGCTTCTATGAAAACAACTTTTATTTCTTTCACTTTTTWAAAATTTGTTTATTTATTTATTTATTGGTTGTTCAAAACATTACAAAGCTCTTGACATATCATATTTCATACATTAGATTCAAGTGGGTTATGAACTCCCACTTTTATTTCTTTCAATCCAGAAATTCCAGAGCATTATGTAATTCCAAGCCAAATGGTTGCCTTTAGTTTGTAAATTTATACTTGGTTTTATAAGAAGGTCAAATTAAAAAAAATTCCTTATAATAATTCCACTTAGTCTCCTGTTTTTTAATATTTTAAGTGTTCCATTTATTTAACACGTTATAGAGATACTGTGCTAAGTGCAGTCAGTTCTGCAATTACACCACAGGTGTGTTTCCAAAAATCACCTTGCTATGAAAAACTGGCAATAGAAACCACAGAGCTTATGAGCAAGATGAGTGAGGGCTGTAACATGTCAGAGACACACAAAAAAGATAATTAATAAAAATGGTAACATGGTTCTGCTCATGTTAAATGGTTAAGAAATACATAAATATGATAGTAAATATAGTACTTTCCTTTGTGAAAGACCCGAAGTTTGTTTTTGGAAGTAGCTGGTTGCTAGTTATGGTGAAGGAAGGTTATCAGACAGAAAGCAAGGGCATAGGGTGGATGGATGTGGCTTATAGCAGGTGGTAAATTGATCAACATTTGAACTATGTGTGTGCATACAAGTRTATGCACACATACATGTTTTTTGTCCTCCCCCTGGCTTGTATGTGCAGTTTTCTATGTTCTAATGTTTCTTCCAGATAATGTCACACATAAGCAAACAAGAAATTTACATGATATTCAGATGGTTCCTTAGTATACCCATCTTTTTAGAACAAATTCTGTTTTTTGTGSGGGTGGGGGGCAGGGTACCAGGGATTGAACTGAGGAGCACTCTTCCACTGAGCTGCATCCCCAGCCCTATTTTGTATTTTTTATTTAGAGATAGGGTCTCACTGAGTTGCTTAGCACCTTGCTTTTGCTGAGGCTGGCTTTGGACTTGYGATCCTCCTGCCTCAGCCTCCCAGCTGTTGGGATTATAGGCATTTGCCACCGTGCCTGGCAAATTCTGGTTTTTAAAACAAGTATTTATTATAGAAAAATTGACCATAACTCAAGGTGAGCCACCATAGAGAACAATGATTCCCAGCACCACAACATATTAAAAATTACCCAGGAAGCTTCTAAAACTGTGAAAGTCTGAGCCCTATCCCCAGAGATTCTGATTCAGTTAGTCCTTGATGGGGTGCCTGGATGCCTTTCTGGGTGACAGAACAAAGAAAGAAAAAAATAATTGCTCAGTAATTTTAATTCCAGCAAATATTTATTGATTCCTATATGACCTTACTGTGAAGGGTACAAGTGGAGAAATAAAAACGTCTCCTACTAGTCTTTTTCTTATGACCAAATGTCTACCCATGAAAAAATGATATGATAAAAACCAATGGCAGCCAATGGGGAATTGGTACACAAGGAATTGGTGCAATGAATGCTTCACAGAATTGAGAAATTGCTGTGGCTAGGAGGGCACTGGGACAGCAGAACTAGAAAGGTTGGAATCAGGGATGGGTCTAATGACTGAGAAGAATTTGAATAGATATGGCAAGTGCTTATTTTAGGCAGGGAGGAGCAGAGTACTTCATAAAGGAAAGTGAGAAGAAAGAAGGCACTCGTGGGAGACTATGAAGAACACGGCCTAACCCCAGTGGAGAGCCATGTTGGTCACAGAGGAAGAATATGTCCGATTACAGAACTAGAATGGCAGGTTGGGTATTTGGCTTGATCTGGCAGGGCATAGTAAAGGTAAGAAACAGTATAGCACTGCTTTCTGTTTATGTGATCAAAGTGGTTGCTCACATAAAACCAAGCAGAGAAGTGTGTGTGTGTGTGTGTGTGTGTGTGTGTGTGTGTGTGTAAGGGCTGGAGGGGAACCAGGGTGGAGTGTGGAGAATATTTGTTATAGGAGGCTTCTGGCACAGGTCCTTGGATGACTGTCTGGCTCTGACTCCACCATCTAGGCATGAGCCTGAGGCAGAAATAAGTCAGCCCTGAGCAACTCAGCTTGAAGATAAACCTTTCCCCCAGGAGTTTCTCCCTCTTGGCAATTGTCACCTTTGGGCACAACTCAGTGACTCAATGGATGTGGTCTCCTATTTTGGCTCTTTAAAAAGAATCCATTTTAAAAATCCATATGTAAGAAAATGGAATTGAACCCCTATCTCTCACCCTGCACAAAATTCAACTCAAAGTGCCTACAGAAAGAAAAAGTAGATACAATTCTCCATCATGTCTTTTATGGTTAGGATGTGAGGTATTCCCCCAAAGCTCACATGTGAGAAACTGGGAAAAGAGTCAGATGCGAAGTGGTTAGGTTTTGAGAG